TGGTGAAGGGACCACGATGGCATGAGGGGACAGAGTTCTCTCGCACTTCTCAATCCACCCACCCCGGCGCCAAAAGCCACACCACCACCACTGCGTTTTTGTTTTAAATCAGGGTTTTATTGTCAACGCGGCAGGGTCCGAGCATCTCCCTCACAGGCTGAGCAGCACTGCACGCTGCCACGTCTCGCTCCTGCCCCGGGGGAAGGACAAAACCAGAGCCACGAGCCCACGAGCCAGGGCACATGCTGCTGACTCTCCAGGAGGCCGAGCTCTTTTACACCCCCAAAAGACCACTCGGGTCTTTTTGAAACATCCATACAAACACAACACAATTCCACAGCGACATTACAGGCAGCACGGCATGTCCTCTCCAGCTCCCACTGCCTCTGAGATACAAAACACAGAGCCCAGGATCACTTCCAGCCTGTGTACAGGGCGCTGTAGGAATGGTGCATCACAGCTGCCCTGCCACGGCTCAGTGCAACCACAACACATTCATTTATCGAAGTGAGATGCATCTGCAGGAATCAGCACTCAAAACGCCATGTAAATACATTTGTCCCGGGCCCTGCGTCAACCTTGCCGAGGCACAAATATCTCTGAGGTCCAGTAAGCCGTGCTCAGGGGCTTGCACCTTGCCCATCAATCCTACCCTGACCAACTCTAGAACTGACAAATCCATCATCAGCCCTGTACCTGCTTCCAGGCCTCGTCCAGATCCAGCAAGTCCGCTGTCGTCTTCCACCACCAGCCTCCCAACAGCCAGGCAGCCAACAGCAGGCTGTCAGCTTTTACCCTAGAGGGCATACAGGCTCTGATTCATGCCTCTAGGTCCATACACAGAGTACTCCTGAGCTTCTCTGGTTCGGCAAGTGGAAAGCAGAGCTGAGGCTACCGCACCATATTTCAAAGCTGCTGCCCGTATAAATGCACTGTCTTTGCACGCAGGCGCACGAGTTCACCTTCAAACACGGAAGTAGTAAAATAAAATTCGTCACTGAAAACTGCTGACAAACAGGAAAAAAACACCCTGAAATCAGGACGGTAAAGAGTCCCTTCTGGAGTGACCATTTCCTACAGCGACTTCAGCACAGTACAAAGCACATAGTACAGGCAAATTCCAAAAAGGTGTGTTTTTCTCATAGAGACCATAGATGTCCTGCAGAGTCCTGGTTTTCTTTCAACAACAGCCAAGTTTTACAGCAAGTTGACTGCAGAGGCTGACAAGTCAAGGCTTATTCTTTACATACTGCACTCTGCACTGTCAAAAAGAACTAGTGATGGAGGGCACTTTGCAGGGGATGGAAGGAAAGGGGCCTAGATTATCATGACCTCCCAAAGGACTCCAGATGCCAAAAGCAGGCTCTTCAACAGATTCTCGTGTTGGGTTTTAAAAAACTCACATTCCCAAAAGTCACCTTCGTGGTGCTTTAGTAACGCAGCCTATTGAGTGAGTCGATGTAATGAAAAGTGGCTCCTAATGCCCAGCTCGTTTCAACATTGTCAATTTTCCGGGCAAGCTGGAAAAAAACAAAACACCCCCCCCAAAAAAAGAAAAGTTAAACCACAATTATTTGGGAGAAGGAGAAGCACAAAAGGTGAATAGAGTGCTGAAGGTTATCACAGCGGGTTATCACCATCGTGGGGACAGTGTCCCTCCACCCCCAATCACAGAGCACATCTTGTATGAACAAGGCAAGACAAGGACCGAGCTACCGGCCTGACGGCTCCTGCCTTGGCACCCTCCTGCCTGCTCTGCCCAGCAGTCCATTCTGTGCATCACCTTAAACACTTGGCTCTTCGGGAAGCCCAGCTCCTGCAGGAGGAAAGTGATGTACGTGAGGTCCATGCAGAGGAAAGGGCTGCTTCCGGGACTGATTTCCATGGTCTTACACACTAAGAAGAAAGAAAACAGCATGTGAAGGCACAATGCGGGCTCAGGCCTGGCATCAGCCCAGCTTTGAAAAACTTCCAGTGAATCCATCCAACACCTCTCGTCCGTCGAGTTGCACAGTGCTGGAACCTGTTACAGGTGAAACGGCATGCACATGTGAGCAGAAGCACAAAAGCTTTGGCACACTGGAAGGAAGATCAAGGCATTCTGTGTCTCTCCCCTAAGACAGATGAGTTTCTTGCATCTCTCCAGGAAAGGGTGAAAAGGGCATCCAATTTTTCTTCCATCTACTTCAAGCCTTTAAATATCTAGGCAACCTCAGGTGTGTTACGTTTCTTGAGCATAAACACTCAACAGATGTTGACAAAACCAAAGAAAAGTAAAAAAGAAGACAAAAGAAAAGACAAAACCAAAATAAAACTCACTTCCTTTCTCAGGATGAATTACACAAACGGTAGTCTAGAAAATCAGAACTGCAACAATTGTTCAGTCAGTCATGAAGTTTACCAAAATGTCCCGTGGCAGTTTGATCAAAGCCTGAGTTTGTGGTATTAAGAAAAGAATGTTTACATTTGTAAATCTGCGTAGGTGGTTCTCTCTGTAGCTGATGAAGCGAACAGCCATGAACTGGTTTTACCTCTTTTCTGATTAACAATGAAGCATATGAACAGATCTTGAGACATAAAGAAAATGTAAACCAGATCAGAACAGGTTATGCTACCACCGTGAGAACCTCCACATCTATTATGAAAGCAGGATTTAAGGACAACTGTTAACTGGTGAGTTTATTAGTAATTCTTGAGAAAGTTTTGAAACGTAAGTAGTATAAGATGTGCCTTATGCGGGCTGCAAAAGCAAGTATTGATATAAAAAGAGTTGAGAATTACAGAAATAAGCAGAAACTTTAGTGAGATACTATAGGGACAGGTGTTCAAGAAAGGTGCTCAATATTTACTTAAAACAAAAAAACCCAGGGGTTTTAGCATTGTCACACTTGGGTATGACTTCATACACAATTAGCAGTGTGTGTTTGATTGTATTCTACTCACCGTATTTAGCTGCAATTTCAAAGTCACCGACAGTTAAGGTTCCTCCTTTTTCTTTATCTAAAAGAAAAACCAAAATGGCATGTGGCCTTTTGTGGGTTTTGTATAAAGGCAGTTGTACCTTCAAGTCATAAAAGTTCTTCAAAAATAAAACCCCGAGTCGATGAAATCAATGACAAAACTCACTCTCACTTTAAAGGTAAAAGAACCTTTAAAAGATTCTTAATATAGCTTGAAAAGCCTCATTTTATTGAAGAACTTTGAGCCACTTTTGAGAAGCACAGTTTGCACACTCTCTCAGCTTGTCCCCATGTCTGTGCTGCCCTACCCTGTGATGCCTGAATGCAGTTAATGCCTTCAGCTCCGTGTGACAGGGCAGTGGTGCTCTGCCACATGCTAAATCCGAAATTCTTTGTTAAAATGGCTGAGGAGGTGGGTGCGTTTGTCCAGACAAGCTCTAGAGCTCATCATTTATGTTGTACCACTGAAGACAACAGCTTTCTGTGCACCAGCACACCACTGGAAAAGGGACGGGATGCATTCTGCACATGTGTGGGATTCCATCTAAAAAAGGTCAGTGAAGCAAAATACAGAGCCCAAGATCACTTAACTGCTTTACTGCCCAAGAAATCTGTTTATCTTTCTGAGGGCTTTTTTTCTATTTTGGATTGTAGAGTTAATCAGACCAATGATTTCTGAAATGCAGTTTGTTTACAAAAAGTTAGCAGAAGGTGCAGGTCCTATTTCACAGCCCCAGTCCCTTCTCTCTAGAAATTAATTAGCGTTCAACAGCCAGTCAAGACCAATGCCGCACAGCACTGTAACAAAAGACTTAGCAGAGCACTGTGATGTGTACAAGTGCCACCATTTCTTCCACACTTTGTCATTTAAAATGAAATGAGAACAGGAGCAAACCTACCTATGAGACCAACTTCTGCTGCACAGTCATAGTAGTAGGAGAAAGTGTAAAAATCCAAGTTCTTCACTTCCTCAGCTTTGTGCACTTTTTTGTAGAGCATCTTTGCTACTTTGCTAGAACAAGACTCGTACAGAGGCTCACCTGAAAGAAGGCAAAGAAACCCAGCACATTATGGACACACAATTTATTTAGGATCTGCTGGGACACTGGGCTCCCTTTTGCACAGTAGCACTTTGTAAGCTCTTCAGAGAGAACTGAAATCTCTGCATCTTCTTCCAGGAGTAACATGTGCCATCCTCACGTTAGGACCAAGTAAGCCACAGACCAGAGTTGGACAACATCATCTGAAGCAGAATTTTGAAAGTCCTGATCGGGGATTGCTCAAGTCCATCTGCCTTACTACCAGCAGCTTTAGGGACTGACTGGACAGACACACAAGAGGAAAGAGCTGCAGAGTCTCTTTAACAGTATGCCAAGAGGAACCAGACAGAACCGTAAACAGAGAATCTAGTGTTTTTGCAAATTGCTGAGACTATATAATTTACTCTGCTAATAGCATGCTGGCCTAGATAGGAAGAGTGATAAATCACTATACCTGCCTTCTGCCCTTTAATTTTGTACACTATCTCGGCATGTTGCCATTCAGATTTGAAGCCAGGTGGTAAACAAGGGCTGATCAATTCCTCCCCTTCTCCTACTGCGGAAGTAAAACAAAACCATATTAGGGAAAAACGTAAAGGGTTAATTTCAGATCCCTCACCCCCAGCCCTGCTCCACACTGTCCTACAGCCTCAGCGAGGCACCTCCGAGCCCCAGCTATGGCTCAGATGTGCTGTGCTCCCCCAGGGCTGGCAAGAACCCAGGTCTCCTGGGACCTAGCAGTGTCACCTCATCTCCAACGCACCCAGCCATGGTGACAGGAATCCACATTCCACTCAGGAACCTTGAGACCAGTGGGAAGGGGACAGACGACTCCTCCCCTCCCTGCAACAGGCTACGTCCCCTATGCTCAGAGTCAAGACTTGAAGAGTGCCCATAACTTACAGGGTTTTCCCTCAACTCCTCCTAAAATGGCAAGTCTTGCTGACATCAGCCCGAGTCCCAGGTAACTGCAAAGGGATAAAAGCCTCTATGAACAACAAACATTCTTCCTCAGATAGTGCACTGAACAACTTCTGCTGGGACATGCCAGTCTCCTCTCTGTGGTCCTAGAGAAATGGCTCCGAGTCAGCAGCTGATGCGCCTACAGGGAACAGCGTGACAACCCGCTCTCATTATTGCCCTTACCCAGAAGGATAATCTCTCTTTGAAAGAGCACAGGCAGTAGCCGTCAGCGGTAATCCGGCCCTTGAAGAACTGGGAATGCTGAAGGCATTCCTCTAACTCAAAGCACCCCCCTCCTCAAAGGCAGCACAGCCTCCAGCATACAGAGCTGCCTTTTTTGAGCCCAGACACACCCCACAGCAAACACAGGAGGGTGGAAGCCGTTTCCCTCTGCCTAAAACACGGGGAGCAGGGGAGGAGAGTGAGGAGGAAGGAATGGTAGAGACAAAGCAGTATGAACTGCCTGCAACCCCCATCCTTGAGATGGGGAGCAGTGAAAGAATTGGGAATGAAGCTGAGGAAGGAGGGAGAGGTAAGGTGAAGGCATTTTTTTAAAAAAATTGTTCTTATTTCTCAATCCTACTGTTTAATTTGCGATAAATTAAATTAACTTCTCGAAGTCGAGTCTGTTTTGCCTGTGATGGGAACCAGTAAGTGACCTCCCTGTTCTTCTCTTGACCCACAAGCTTTCTGTCCTATTTTATTCTCCCTGTGCTCCTAATGGACGGGGAGTGATAGAGCGACTTGGTGGGCACCTGGCAGGCAGCCAAGGTTAATCCACCACCACAACATGGCTCAGGTTTCTCCACTTCTTCCCAGCACTCATTTGCAAGGACCACACTTCAGCAAAGCACCTAGATCTCACTGATTTCACAGAATGCTTCTACCTGTACAGAAAGTCCTCTTTCCCACAACCAACCTGTAAGAGTACAGCTTGTAGGTGTGGTTAAACATCTGAAACGAAGTTGTATGGCCAGCTGGTGATGTCTGGAGAGTTGCCTGGAGGCAGAAAAAGATGTCATTGCAAGGTAGCTGCCTGCTGCAGCAACAACAGAACCTTTCAGAACATTAAGAAAAATGTGAAACAATCCTAGCCTGGTTCAGAGACAAATGACGAGTTTGCAAGTATTTTGATTTGACCGCTGATCCACAAAACAACTACAAAACCTGGAGCTAAAATTAGCATCTTCACATAGAACCTGAACGCATACATTTCTATTTGTATTCATGCCAAATTGGTGTATAAAATATTTCTTTTAAATAAAAAGGAATCCTTATTCCAGCTCTTAATTGCTTTTTTCAAGAAGCTACAGCAACTACCTCTTCACATGATCCCTACTAGGGAAAACTGTTTGCAGAATAATATGAAATCCAGGCACGCATAAACTTCCTACTCAAGTGAATTCAGATGTGAACTTCCACAAGCCAAAGGAAAAGCACATCTCTTTGCTTGCCAAGGAACAGAGTGAGGACCAGCCTGTGGTCTGAAGAAATGAAAGGGTAATTATCTAAAACACTCTGCAGCCTCTTCCCCGAGCGCACCAGTGCAGCTGGTGTATTTTTGGGGAGCGACGCTTGGGCCATGATGCTGTTCACGCTGCTCACATCTTAATCCCAGCTCTAGAATTCCCATATCCTGGACTCTTCGCAACCCCCGTGATTCTGCCGTAAGAGCACAATGTCTTGATTAGCCCAGGCTGCGACACTGCAGGTACAGCATCCCAACCCTCTGCTGTTGCGCAGCCTTACAATGAGCAGTATCTCTGCTCAGGCCAGGCATGGCTGCATGTCATGCTGACAGACTCTGAGTCTGTTCCCAAAGGAAACAAATCTGACCAGTTACTGATTTCTGCACCGGCATTTCCCAACTATGTGCACGTTCACATTACCTCGGTGCGGGGAAGGAAGGTGATCTGTGTTGATCCACCACCCAAATCCAGCATCCCGACGCTTCTCTTCTGTGGATCATCTAGGCTGCCTGAAATGTGTGACAGAACAGAGAAAGCCATGGTGGGCGCTGTGAGAAAGCGGCTGGGAACAAAACCAGGAGTACAGTGGTAAAGAAAGAGGACAATCTAACTCCATTCGTCAGCTTCCAGCCAGCATTAAATCACAGTGTCATCCCCTGGGCTCTTACTTTGGCTTTATCAGGGTGACTTGAAAATTCTCAAATGACAGAGTTTCTCTTGTGTCTCCGGTGGCTGTTCATGCTCTAAATACAGCAGCTTTGGTTCTTGGGTTCCTAAACATCTTTCAGTGGATGCAAGGACCCTTTTGCAAGCTCTGCTCTGGTAACCACTTTGTAACACAGAGGAATGTGGTTTTCTTGGCCATCTCTCCCTGATCCCTTAGCGATATTTCGCAGATTCCTATGGCCAAGGGGGGTGACACACTGAAAAGAGCTGCCCTAAGAGACTCAGCTCTCTTGGAATTCTTCCTGCTGCCAGCCCAGACGTCTCTTCTCATTTAAATCCAGTTCTTCTCAGATCCTTGAAATATACCTTCCTGGCAAGGCTAGTGTGTGCCAAGTAACTCGGTATATCTCATGATAGTTGATGTTTGAAGATCTCTGACCTTTCTGGTATTTCCTGTGAGCATAAAAATCTTTAGAGCAGTTGTAGCACCGCTCCAGACGCTGTGTGTGAAGAACCAAGCAGACTTATTGTTAGAGGGCTTCAGCTTGTTTTTTTCTGTACTCTTCAGCTACACTTTTCTAACTCAGCAGTGTAAACACTCACGGTATTTCTGTGTTATAAATCTGTGAGGAAGTAGCAGAGCCATTTCTTTCATTCGGTGTGGCTGCCAAACGCATCTAGAATATCCACCTTAAAAACTGAGCCGGAGCTAGTGGCAAACTCTAAAAAGGAATGAAGTTCTCTGGTACCCTACAGGGAACTGAAAGAAAGGCTACATTAAACATCTAGGGAAAGGAATTAAATTCCTCACTCTGTCAAGTAAACGGCCAAAATCCTAGTGACTTAAATAGGCCAGTCCAAAAAAAAAAGCTGCTGACTTATTCCTAGACCCTTCTTTCTCCCACTCCAGCCCACTGAAAGAGCAAATTCCACACAGGGGCAGAAAACAGCATGAATTTCACAGCATTGGTCATGTCTTTATGCACATGCTTACATACACATACCTGTTAAAAAATTTATTGTGATCCAGGCTGAAATACCTAGTAAGAAGAAAGATTCAGAAGACACACCGTTAGGTCATACCGTTTCATTTTATCTAACAACAGTAACAAACAAGGTGAGCTGTGTTACAAGGTCTTCCTGCTTTAGGCTCTGTATAGATGGAGGCCTTTCTAAGTTTTCTCAGACAGTTTAATTGCCCCATGTGAACAACATAACCAGCAAACCAGAGCTTGTCACCCAACAACAGCCAGGGACACCAGCACAAGCTCCCTTGTGCCCCTTTCACACACAGAGGAATTCTAAAGTCTCCAGAGGATGTCTAGCTGAGAGCTAAGCAACAAGGACTTTCAGGAAGGGTGAACAGGAGTGGCTTTTCTGAGCTTCCCTGACCCACCTTGCCCCAAAGCCACGGTTTCCGCAACTGTCAACGGCTCAAAAACTGCAATTAGATGCCTTGCACAAACAGAATGAGCTTCTACAGCAGAGCTTATGCGATATTTGGAAAAGATGGCCCACACATCAAACGCCTGGAGCGCTCTGTATTTCACACAGGTCAAAAACTTAGGCAAAACATCACAAAGACTTCGCTCCTTAGCTAAAGGACACAGAAATGACTGACACATCACACATTTTCTAGGAAAACATGCACTGGTAGGCTTGTATTTGATGTCGAGCACTCAACATTCCTTTCAAATACTAAGAATTTTATCTTTTCAGTGTTCTAGTTTTTCCTGTTTTCCTCTAAGCATTTTTGTGAGCCTTACTATTTCTGTCTTCTTCTTGGTTTATAAACGCTTTCTCCGTAAATTAGATAAATTAGTAGGCATATAGTTAACAAATTCAAATATTTATCCATGTGGTTAAAACTCAAGGCATGCTAGGGAACACGGTCCAGTTCAACCCTTGGCTGAACCAAGGCTGTCACTGCTATTAATAATTTTAAAACAAAACAATGAGAAGAATTACAACATCTTTCTTCCATTAAGCAGTAAAAAAAGAAACTCATAAACAGCTCCAAACAGCTCTAGCTATTTTAAAGTTTGTTTTCTAAATGGACTTAAAACATGTTTCAGCACTCAGTTACTTAGAATTTAGACACGTTTCTTCAAATTATTTTAAATTAAGACTGATTCTGGGTTCTGTCCTCAGCATTTTTTGACGAGCATCAATTACATTAGCATATATTTTCTTCCCTACATATCATTTTTTCAGATTGAATTTACACATTCAGTAGGTCAGTCACAATTAAAGATATGACCAAATACTTTCAGAAAGCTCTGAAGAGCACTGTCAAGAGCAAGGCTGGCAAAATCAGTTGCTGAAGACCATCTCAACGAGCAGAGATATTCAGAAACCTTTCCAGAAGCTCTGACTGTACAGCAGCTTCACAAAGATCCCACAGGAACTGCCCAGCACCCAAGAGCTTTGAGAATCAGGAGAGATCAGGACTTCAAATGGGGAAAGGTAGCACAAGATCTCCCGAGGCAGCCTGAAAACTGCCAAACCCACTGCTTGTGGGGTCCCACTACAGTGAGTGGGGACTTGTCACAACACGGCCGGAATCTCCAGGATTGCAGAAAGGGTCTCCACAAGTGAGCCTACCTTCATCAGTTCCATTCATTATCGACACACAGTTGTCCCTCACGAAGAAGGGGGAGGCCTGAAAAATCTCCTTCACCTGCAGTTCAAATAAAAGCTACACTCAGAGAAATCATTTTTTCAGCTGGAAAGCAAGTTGGTTTTTTTTTTTTAGAACTCTTGGTTTTACACAACTGCTCCTCTTTCTTGTGCCAAATTCTGATTGCTGCTCACCGCTGTGTTTGAGGTTCAGGGGCCCAAGCAGCATCAGCAGGTGCTCTGTTATGAAAGGTCAGCGATTTACACGCTGGCTCTGCAGTTTGGTGCAGAAACAGGGGTGGATGTGTGAGTTTTCAAGCACGAAGACTGCTCAGAAATGCCATTAACAAAGGATGGACGTGGGTAGGGAAGGGAATCCAGTTTACTTTGCCACAGTTGGTGACTTGCAGGCTATTATATATGCACAGGAGAGGCAGGAGATGGACATCCTCACTTTCAGGAGTGTCCCAGGGAACGGTATTTTTAAGAGGAGGTCCTCTGTTGGAGGTCCTCTATACTATATCCTACATAAGCTAGCAAAGTCCTAGGTTTCCAGAGTCCTCTAAGGTAACAACTGCAGCAGTTCCAGTTGAAATTAGGCATGGAAAAGAACAGGCCAGCTTGCGGGCAGCAGAGAACAATACAGACATTGGTTTCAACCACACCACGTTTCTTCCTTCTAATTATTGCTTAGAAAAGGAGTACAGTCAGTACACCCTTCATAAACTTCTCTGGCAGCCATAAAGTCTAGAACATAACAATTTCATTTATTTTTATAATATTTTAAAATATTAAACATATTTCATATGCCTATAAATACAATTTCCATTATTTCCCATCAATATAAAGGAGCACCCTTGCAGCAGCAGGCTGATAACATGACTAATCAAATAGCAGAGAGCTTTTCTCAAAATAGCAACATCCTGGTCAAAACTACCCACAAACCAAGTAGGAACAAGCCTGCGGTGAGTGTTAGGAGTATCTCGTTACCCTTGTTATGTCGTATATAATCTCCAGGCTTATTTGGAGCTGTCAGCATGCCCCTGTGCTCGTACCCACACAATTTCTCCCTCCATCCCCCTTTCCGATCAGGTGGCTCCGTGCTGCTTTCAGAGTGAAACGTCAGGAATGGCTCACGTACATGAAGATTAAGGAGCATGCACCTTGCACAGAAGGGACCAAATTTTGCTATAAAATTTCTGGAAGGCAAGAAATAGTACCTTATCCAGCAACCTCTGAGCCTTCTCTCCCGGCAGCAACCGTAGGCCAGCTGTGGCTTTCAGTACCAGAGGCGTAAACTTCCACAGCTCCGCAGGAACTTCCTTTTTCGCCACCTCCAAGAGCTCTTTTATTCCCTGGCTGCTCTGTGAGCAAAGAATAAAAAACTCTTTAGATTTCCCTTCCTTGGAAGGGCAAAAGTCTGACTAGAGGTATGATTAACTCTGGAATAATGTGGAACAGAGACAAGCGAATATCATTTTCTCAAGGGCATCAAAATTCTTAAGGCAGAAATAGGAAAAACACCCACTGTGCTTAGTTAACATCACTGCTGAGCAGAAATAGATGCATCCTGCTCCTCTGCACGTCAACCAACTTTTACTGCGGGCTTGTAATCATTTGGAGATATTTCCCCCTACTGAGTGGGTTCAACACACCGCACCACAGCAGAATGTGATTTACAGGGCATATCAAAACCAGGAGGCTTTGGCGCATTTATGTTGCTTTTATAGCACCAGAAAGAAAATTACCTTTTCAACATCATCGGCATATGCGGATAGACCTGGCTTCAGCGCTTTAAACGTCTCGTGGGTTAATTTGGGAGTCTCTGTTGAAAAGCAGCGTTCCAAAATTAAGCAACGGTACAAACAATTTTGCGTACACAAAAAGAAAACCATTATACAAATTACATCATTACGTGCTACTGTAAGCTAAATGAAGCCTCTGTCTAACCAACCATCAATACCCATCCGATCTTTAAATACAGCCCTTGCTATGGAAGTTAGCCCCCCAGAAAACCATTTTTAAAAGTCACAACTGTTTTTCAGGTGCTGGCGTCCACTATGTATGTATTTTTCACGTGCACTCAATGATCACCAGATGGGTGTAGGTTGTCTTTGAGCCCTTACACCTGCCGCATGTAGCTTTCCAAACCGCACCTGTAACCAAGACCTCGCATTTCAGTGTGCGCTGTTCTTGCTAAACTCAGTTCAGCAAAACTCAGTGGAAGCTTTCCCACCATTTTCTAGGGCGGCAGAGAGAGCCAGACCTACATATTTTGGAAACCTGCAGTACAGACGTTTATGCAAACCTGCAGGCAAGACAAGGTGAGTTTGACAACATCCTCCTCCTGTAGTCAAGTACAGTCCATAAAGTTTCCTGCAATATGTTCTGAAATGGTGTGGAAAGAGAAGGAGGCACAGATTTGGGAGTATGTTGGAAGAAGGAAATCCACGGACTGCCGTTTAACGCCTTTGGTGGCTAAGCCTTACACAAGCCCGTTCTGCAAACCGAAGGTGCTGCCCACAGGCCAATCACACCATAAGCACTGCACAAATAGGAGCTGACAACACCTAAACAAACGAAACTTATGACTCCAGAGGAAAACTGGAGATTTTTGTACACTTCTGTCTCACTTCTCAGTAATACCTACTGTCCAAATGCAATACACAGCAATTTTAACCAAATAGTGAAGTTTTGCCATTTAAATTCAACACTGAAGCCCAGGATGCATTAAACTAGACAATGCAGAGATAAGCAGCTCACTGCCAGGAGTTGGAGACAGCCAACCTCATGGTGAAAATCTGGGAGAATAAGGCAGGGTGAATTTATAATCCTCTCTTCCACCAAGCAGCATGATGAAAAACTGTTCTTCTTCAAGGCAGCACTCTAAAGGTACAGCTGCTATTTAGTTCACATTCTGACATTGGAACATTTTCTCCCTCTTGAATATTTTTGTAATTTCATCCAAACTCACACGCTCGAATCATAATGAACTTCCTGACAGCTCTCTAGAAAGTGCTGTAGCACGTTTGTACAAGTAATCCCCAGTAAAGATTCCTCAATAATCTGCTCCATACGTTACGGAAGAATCAATCTACCATACAACAAGCAGGCCATACCTTTTGGCTGCTGTGTGAATTTAAAAATATGGATGCGAGTTCCTGTGCTTCCTGCATCAAACATAATTCCATAAAAGACTGAGAGATCTGTGGTCTGTGCCTGATGGTTCAGTTTGTCTCCCTGGCTTTCAGCAACTCCTTCTGTTGCTCCCATGATGGGTTTGGAATCTAAGTGCCATTTTATGTATGCAACATAAACAGCTATGCATGTCAAAATCCCAAATGCGAAGAAGCGCTTTGATATCTTCATGGCTTCCATTTATCAGATGTCTTCTTTCTTCCCTTTATCGTACGTTTTACTTCTTGCCCTTCACGTAGTTGTTTTCCACACCATTCCTATATCTAACAGAAAAGATATGTTTTAGTTTGTAAAGTCGCTGAAAGGACCTAAGAATATGTCAGTTATCTGATAAGGGACTTAGAGGAGTAAACTCGATTTGAGCATTAGTTAAAAACCTGTTAATTGGTTTAGATCTGTGATAAAACAGTTGGGTATGATAGTCAAAGTAAGCAGTAAGTCACTGCAACAAACAGCCTGGTAAAAACAAACCCTTATGCACAGAGAGTGACAGACTACTGCTGGCAAGGAAAAGGATTTATGCCAGAAACTCCTTCAGCATCTGGAGTAAGACTGAGGTATCAGCTACTGTCTTCAGTGCCCAAATCTCTCTCAGCTAACCCAGGAAAACTGCAGTTAGATGCTTATACTTATTCCGGTAGGACAGTGTAGAATCCTGCATTCAAAAATCTGGGATTCAGCTGCTAATCTCTTCTAAAACTGGCCCTAGCAGCAAAATCCCTCTCTCCCATGTTGCTTGTCTCAACCATCAAATGTCTCCATGGCTGCAGGATGCCTACAAGACCACACTCTTCTCCCAGCGATTCAGAAGGGACACATCCATCCTCCTTCAGCATGTCATCGAGATCTACAGCTAATTTAAAGACACAAAGCTGCATAAATCTTCTTTCCCACACTGTTACTGAGGTCAGAAAAGGAACAGAGTCTAGAGAAGCTAAACGAAGCAACTGAGCTGGGAAGGGACCTCAAAGCTCTCTCAGGTATGGGGACCCACCATGTTGCTCAGGGCTACATCCAATTCCACTGTGAAAACCTCTAAGGATGGAGAGCCCACAACTGCTCTCGACAACCCGAATCACAGAATCACAGAATCATCCAGGTTGGAAAAGACCCTTGGGATCATCGAGTCCAACTATTAACCCTACTTGCAAGTTCACCCCTAGACCATATCACGCAACACCACATCCAAGCGATGCTTAAACACATCCAGGGATGGCGACTCAACCACCTCCCTGGGCAGCCTTTTCCAATACCCCACAACTCTTTCCGTGAAGCACTTCTTCCTAGTGTCTAGTCTAAACCTACCCTGTTTAAGCTTGAAGTTCTGTCACTAAATACCCAAGAAAAGAGGCCAGCACCAACCTCTCCACAATATCCTTTCAGTAGTTGTAGAGAGTGATGAGTTGCAGAGAGTGATGAGTTGCAGAGAGTGATGATACAGCTCTCTTCATTCCTTGCCCATGGTGGGGTGGCTGGAACTAGATGTTCTTTAAGGTCCCTTCCAACTCTAACAATTCAGTGATTCTATGATTCATTAGCTCCTGGGTGGTGAAGGAGGTCCCGAAAGACTGGACGAGGACAATTTAAAATCAGTGTTCAAAAGGCAAGATGGAAATTCCAAGGAATTAAGAGTAGCCTCTCCAGCTCCAACACCAGGAAAGAACCACAGGGAAGCACAATGCAAGCACTCAGGCACCATCTCCCAGATGATAAAAAAGCCCCACACCAGTCAGTGGTGATTTTTGGGGAGCGAGTCACATTTTATCTTTCCTTTTCTGATAGTGTAATTACAAAGAGAGAGCAAAGCAGCTGATGAAGCTGGCTTGAACAAGGTTTTGACATGCATATATATATATGTGTGTGTATATATATGTGTGTGTGTATTATATACATATCTATATATACATACATGTATCTCTCTCTATATATACACATGTATCTATAGACACACACATGCATTTATATATATATATGTCTCTATCTATAGATACACACGCACATGTATCTCTATATATAGATGCGAATCCGGGAGGCGTACAGAAGGTGAGAGGGGAAGGAATTTAAATCCAAGGTGATTAGGATGCATCGTCAGAACGATGGGTAAGACAAAATCTTGTAAAAATGGAGGGAAGCAAAACCACAAGCACAAAGACACACTAAGGGATAGGTGTGGGGGGAGGAATTGCCATGAAAGAGAAGGCGGGAAGCTGGCACTGCAACCGGTTCCTCAATAAATACATCAAT